TGTGTAAAGCATTAGCTTTTGTTAGAGGAAAGGCAAGCAGGTGATATTAGCACTAACATGAAAAAATGAATGACAATTGTTTAGTTTTTTTTTAATTTTGAGCTATTTTTTTTTTAAGTTTTTTCCCCCATGTTAGCTGTTCCTCTAATAAGCCAAACATTTCCTCTGTCATAACTTCAAAGTCGCAACTTCAGCCATGTGAAGAGTGCAGGAAATACCTAGATAGTGATCTACATCAGACGTGACGGCATGCCTCCCTAAAACCTTCATCTAAACTAGAGCTTTTGCCTGCAATCTGCTGATTGCACTGCTGAATCTGCACCGGTGAACCATTCGTCTCCATCCCATTCCTTCCAGCTAATAATTCTCACGGCTGACAGCAAGAGAAACAGCTTCAGATCAGATTCTTTACAGCTTCTTGGAGATCTACCTGACCATTTTCCTCTCTCGTGCGTCCCAGCTGCTCTGGGTTGTATTATTGAAGGAAGACGGGCCAAGGCTGTTTGTGAGTGGGAGCTTGGCAAAGGTGGAGGTATTTGAACAGGGTGCATGGATCAACTCTGTGTATGCTTTGCACCATATAGGGCTAGAAGTGGAACGCGTGTGGAATGTGTTTCGTTTTGTTTATAAAAGACAGACTGGATATTTTAAGTCATAACTCTTCAAAACGGCGCTAACGATGTTCAGTTTCAGAGAAGAGGTGCACAATATTAACAGTTCTGGCTTACATAAAAAACATAAAGGCCAATAACTAATAAATGTATTAGTTGTATTTTTATTATTATATATATTTTTGTAACTTTGTCCTATGCTGCCTGTTTTGACCAAGACTCCCTGGTAAAAGAGATACGATATCTCAATAGAACATTCCTGGTAAAATAATTAAATAAATAAAAAATGATTGATATAAATAAAAACATGTACTGTAGAAATTTATTTTGACAGGAGCTGACATTTGACTATATCATTCACTTTGAATAAAACAAACAAAACATTATCATTTAAGAAGCATTCACTGCATTATGAAGCTAATTAGAATACTGTTAGAATGACCCTAATACTTATGAAATAATAATAATAACCCCATAGATGTTTTTAGTTATATATATAATATATAATATACATCGGCTTAGTCCCTCCATCAATCCGGGGTCACCACAGCGGAATGAACCGCCAACTTATCCAGCACGTTTTTACGCAGCGGATGCCTTTTCAGCCACAACCCATACACCCTCTTATTCACATAAACACTCATAAACTAAGGCCAATTTGTTTCAGTAAATTGATGCATTCCACTAGTCTACTTGTCTTATATAATATAATTGAAATATAATTCCTTTGCATTCATTCCCCAAATTTCTATACAAATAAAACTGAGCTGCTGTATGTTCTGCTTTATTCCTATAAAACAGAGGCCATTAAAAGCCTGATGTATAATATCAGTACATATACAGTTTTTTTACAGTTCTAATTACGTTAACTAGGCACGTTAGGGTAATTAGACAAGTTATTGTTTAACAATGATTTGTTCTGTAGACTATCGAAAACAAAATAGCCTAAAGGGGATAATAATTTTCACCTTAAAATGTTTTTTAAAAATGTAAAAATATTTTTAAAAAGAGAAAAATCTATGGGGGAGCTAATAATTCTGACTTCAACTGTATGTATCTGCATAACATACAGTATAAGCATCTGTTAGAAGTTTAGCGAATGATATAACAAAAAGACTTGGCCTGAATGCGCGGTTGGATGACATCATGTGATGGGGTCACACAGTGAGAAGTACTGTACTGCGTCTAAAAGCAAGATTTATACTTTCGACAGGCTCTGGTATACTTTTTTCCTGATTTCCACCTGGTTGACGCAACATATTTAACAAAGTAGTATATCTCCTGATATAATGGCAGGTGATACATAGCACACCACACAAAAACCTTAAAACATTGTGCTACACACAGGTAAGTGGGCCTGACAAACCAACTGTAGGAAAGACTGAGGGCTGGGCGAATTTTAACTAGAGTACAATTACTAAACGATTATTTTGTTTATATATTTGATTTGCTTGTTGTCATAATTCCCTAACAGGTTTTGTACAGTAGCGCACATATTACAAGTGAGAGATTTCTGAAAGAAGGTTGCATTAAAATAATTGAAGGAAACACATTATGTGCTATCTATGATTATTTATTGTACATCAATGCTGAACAACTGAAACTGAAACACACATTGCCTAAAACCAACTGTCATTTTTCTTCATAAAAAAGTGAAAATAAATAACTTGCATTTTTGTAAACAAAATTAATTGTTTTTATTGTTTATTATATTAAAAGTAGAAAATAAGCAGCATCTCTTCTAAATGAAATAAGTCTTGTATATCCTGTAATAAATATTTTAATAGGGTAATTTCTTACATCTTCTGTAAACAAATATTTTAATGTAAATAATAATTTTAATGCAATGGAAACTATGTCTTCTCAAGACATCTCTGGTGCAGCTTCCAATCATCGTCACTGTAGTACCAATAGCCCCTTTCACACAGTGATACCGGTAAATTTCCGGAACGACTTTACCGGTATATTGAAAAAAGCGCTGTTCACACATGCGAGGACTTAACGGAAATTTTCCGGAAAAGAGCATTCACACATCCATTCCAAAATACCGGTAAATTCTGACATCATTCACCACAAATGAGCTTTAAACGGCTGCGCTTGTATTTGTAAACATTTGACTAAATTACAAACTCTGTGGATGATCAATATTGTGAACAACTTTCGCAGGATCACTTTCGCATGTCGAGATGTTCATAATATGTGCGTGTGCAGGCGCTCATAGGCGCACGCAAAGCTTGAAGGTAAACAAACAACGGCTTATCATAAGCATCTCATCGATGATTATTTACACAGTTGGCATTAAGAAGAACATATAAACGTGATCTGACTAACTTCTAGCAGCTAAATGTGCCTGGAAAAATATTCAAAGGCTTTTATTCTCACAAACCGCGCGGACGTAAATGCGTCTGACTGTTGTGATTGGCTAAAGCAGACGTCTCACGTCAGCACGTTCTAGACGTGCACGTGCTTATTACGGGAATCTTCCTTCTGCATTCACACAGCGCAGCATTCCGGCAAATTGCCGGTAATGTTACAACTTCTCTTTCCGGAAAATAGCCAGAACGAATTTACCGGTATTTTCAAAAAGGACCTGTTCACACATACAACCTTTCCGGAAAATTGCCGGCAATTTTCCGGAAAGGTCTGTATGTGTGAAAGGGGCTAGTGTGTGACCTGTAGTTACATTTTTTGAGAGACGCATAGGTATGCGATGCTGCGAAGGATATATTGGACCATACTCGTGCGTTCAACGCAGAAGTATAAATCAGCATTAACAGAGCGGGGTCACATGACTTTTCATGCCGTAAGGAAAGTAAGGGTGCCTTCACATTTGTAGTTCGCTTCATTTGGTCCGGACCAAGGGCAAAAAATGATACATTGTTGCATTTTCTCCCGTCTTTGGGTTGTTATCACACCACACTGCTGGCTTTGGTCCGAGCCAGTTGAAACTAACCAAAATGCAGTCACCTGACAAAATCCACATCTCATATTGGCCAGATGTTGTTAAACATATTTCCTAAACTGCTTATTGATTGGTTAGAATTCACATGCGGGAAAATGCCAATAAACTCCCGCAAGTAAACAAAACCGACAGATACAAAATGTTGTTTTTACTCTGGAGGGACAACTGCGCTGACTGACTGTATCCCTGCTTTTGACAAACTATACATTTCAAGAATGAAGCACGGCTGCGGCTGGGAACGAATGCATCGTTCGTCACTTCAGGAGGAGGCGTGAATTAATTTAGCTACACTACGACATGCTCATCTTGCGGAAATATTACCAATGATCCATCAGGTAATGTTTTCCCCTCTCTGTTGGTAAAGCACTGTCAACAAATATTTTTCCTGCATATCCCATAATGCACAGCGCATCAGCCTACGGCAGCTGGATTAGTCCAAAAGGCGCAGTACTTTTTGCGGTTGGACCTGTTTTAGTACAGATCATATTCTCACCACAAACGAACCGCTCCAGGGTTCGTTTGAAAGCGTAAAAAGACCACCTCTTCAAGCAGGTCTCGGTATGCTTATTTGGTCCGCTTTAGGTGTGCACTCGAGTACGATTGCTGCATTCTCACCTGCCCAAACGAACCGCACCAAAAGGGAAAACGAACTGTAGTGCGATTCAATTGAACTAAATAAAGCAGGTGTGAAAGCACCCTAATTGACCTGGAAAAATTGGATCGATTATAGCTTTTAAATGTCGATTTCGATTACTTTCCAATCAATCGCCCAGCCCTAGAAACACTCTTTCCTGTCTATATGCACCAGACACTCTCTTATAAACACACTAAAACACAATGTTACAAAGATATTAAAAAGTTATCACCTATACTGAAAAATTATTTTGTATAACTGCAGATTAACTATGTATACGATTGGAAGCTATAGTGTCCACCCTACACAAACCTTAAATTTTTATTAATTGAGTTTTAACTTAATTACAAATACCATTTGTAGAGCTGTTTTGGTACAATACTTTTGGTACAATGAAAAGTGATACACAAATAAGCAAATTGAATTGAATCTATTTAAATCCTCAAAATCATCTATTTAATCTAAAAAAATACCTGTACTGCCACGACAGACCAAATAACTGAATGAAATCTGTGCCACAAACAAAACCTGATAAAAATCTACCCTCATTGCCTTTGAGTCACTGCACCACTGCGCCTAGGGATTACAAGACTGATAAAAGTGTAAGGGGTGAACTAGGGGACAAGACCAGACAAAAGCTCGTCACAAAACACACACAACATTTCAAGAATCCGCCCCCTATTGACAGAAAGTCTGTACAAGACCACAAATAAGCAAATTCTACAAGCCCACGTCAAACCTTCTAAAAATAGCTCGTATTATGACCCTTGCAAACTCTCAAGAATGCACTCACCCCTGGTTTAGGTCATTCTCTGTGTTGTCCAGCCAGAGGCGAACGGCTACCGCGTTGCCTTCACGGCACTGAGTGAAGATGTCATCCATTTCGGCACCCTCTCTCCTCTCACACTATCCCAATGGATCGTCCTCCTACCAGGAGTGTCCTGGAAGAGGCGTTTGATGCAGCTGGACCCTGAAGAGAACAGGTGAGGGCGGACAGGACATCCAGCAACGGGAAGGGTGCGATGGGACAGTCTCTTCACAGCCTCAGGGCAAGTGTCTGGTGTCTGCGCTGCACTGCAGAGAGACGAGAAGGAGGAAGCTGTGATGAGCCGTTCTGATCTCTGTTGCACTAAATACACAGTCACAGTTCAAGTCACTAGGGAACAATGACAAAGTGTGAAACATTACAAGAAGTTTAGAGGTGTGTTCGCACTATTTTGGTTCTTTTGGTCTGGATTATTTAGCATTTCATTTTTAAGACTGAAGCTAATTTTTAAGCCATTTCAGAAGCATATTTTACTACAGAATTGACCTTATATCCACAAAAGTACTGTGTACTTGGTTAAATGCTGTAACTTTGATGAGAAAAACAGGCATGCTTAAGCATTCTGTCCTTTCATGGTGATGCATTGTGACATCATGTCCTGTTTTTGGTTAGTTTAGACGTCTTTAGCCCATGTTGTATTAGTATTTCAGTTGACCTGCGCCAGAGTTTGTTGCACTCATCTTTTCAGAGGTCTCGGTCTGCTTGTTTGGTGTCCATAAAGTTTTAGAAGGTAGCGTTCACACTTGCTGAAATTATTGAAACTTTCTATGCTTTCATTTATCAAGTCTTCTACTGTTAAACATGTTAAAGAGTGTTAAAAAGTGTAAAACGTTTTTTTAATCCAACCAAAAACAGTATCTTTTATATTTATAGCTGCATAAAACATATGCAGAGTTATTGCTGGTTCATTCCACTAAGGCGATCGCTGATAAATCAGACACTAAGTTAAAGGAAAGTAAACGAGTAAATTAATTGTTTATGAGGACTATTATTAACTGTAATTATCTGAATGGAAAAGGTTGGTTTGTTGTTGAAGACATCTAATCATACTAAATCTGTCATGATATCTGATGGAGCACAACAGCACATCTCTCCTGTCTCCATGGTTTAAAGGTGCTCTCTGAAAGCATAAATCCTTGTGCACCGTGTAATATCATTCTGTTTGATTTGTTGAGTTTCTTGACTATAACTCCAGAATGAAAGAATAGTTCCTAGAAATGTTGGTCTTATTACACAATGTAAATACAGTAGAGTCAAGCTTTAAATAGGAAAACCATCAAAACTCTTTTTTTGAATGAAATGCTAACGGTCTAGTCTAATTCAATTAATTATGCTAAGCTAAGCTAAGCTAAAAGTGACACTGCCAGAACAAGAAATCGGCTGAATTGTTTCAAAAATGGTTCAAGTTATCAGTTTAATTATAAGAGACCAGTAAATAAAAAAGAAAAGTGGAGAGTCCTTTAATCAAATTAAACCTTCCAAGTGTGAACACATCCTTGAAGAAATACCCAAAAATGAAAAGGTCAGTGATGTTTTTCTATCATATTTATACAAATAAATTAATGTATTTTACACATCTTTTATGAAAAGACTAAAGTCATAATGTCACATAGCCATAGCTATAGGCTTAAATGTTCTAATGTTAAGAAAAAGATATAAGAGAAAAACTTATTTTAATAAAAAAAATTACAATATAATACAATTATATTTTAAACATACAAATGAATTAAATACTTTTTCATAAATACAACTTAAGAATAATTAATGAAATGTTTGTAAATATATTAATTAATGCAAGTAAATATTAAGATACTCAAAAAGTATTGAACTGCAAAAGAAATATTTTATCACTTTTACTTGATGGCTACCACATGACATTTTTAAAGTAATTCAATTAAATTTACAATTCAAAACCACATAATGCCAAAGAAAAAAAAAATTATATATATATATATATATATATATATATATATATCTAAAATGCTGCCCCACAAAAGACTTTCCTTTATTTTTTTATAATCATAGTACTTGTTTTGTAAGGAGAAAGTAGATGTTGTATAATGTTATATATATGATATACATATAACACAGATAATATCAAATAAATATAAAACAATATATTTTTAGCCCTGGTATTATTTTTAGTCATACAAACTCTTTTACATAAGCCTCTCCGCCACTTTATTGTCAGTCTCACACTTTTACCATGCCAAAATATTTTGGGCCATACTCATATTGCTTAGTGAACAGTTGACTGTCATTTCAGAATCTTTCATTTAAACATACTGTTATTTGGTACTACATATTGGACTGAATGCTTGGCATGAATCTGGACTTGGCGTTGTCCTTGACCTATATATACTCTTTAAAATATCTTCCAGTAAAAAACAAGTTGCACAAGTTTAAAAAACAGTGGTCAGTGTATTTTTTGGATAAGCTACTCTAGTCTTTTATTTCACCACATAGAGTTAAGCAATGGGTTCATTCAATGCTGATCTGTGATAAATGCCCATGTAATCATGCAGGTTTTGGCCTGTTAAAACACATATCACTCCCTCACCGAGTCCTAAACAAGCCTCTGCCAAAGAATGTGTTTCTTTAATAATCTGACATCACTCCTCCAACACATACTTCACTTAATAGACTTGCTCTAGACATTTCTTTGTTTGTTCAATTAGAAAATTAAATTATAGTCATGTTCCGTTTTTTTAAAAGAGCAATTGATTGAAATCGTTTTAAGAAACCTTTTGAGAACTATTATGCAATTAAAGGGACAGGACAGTTCACCCCCCAAAAATTCCTCACTATTTACTTGTACTCAAGTGGTTCAGTTGAACATTAAATGTTTGTTTTTTTACTTGTTATGTTCATTTTCATTGAAAAAAAAAATCATACAAACCATACCGCCTAAATCCTTACAAGAAAGAGATGGACCATACATCAAAGTTCTCTTGGAAGTACTCTATCACAGTGGATTTAGCGGACTACAAAAACTCAAAACCCACACATCAAACATTGATCAAAATGTTTGTGGAAGGTTCATTAAAAATAAATTAAAAGGCATACCATACATGAATAACATTTACAATCAGGGCTTGACATTAATACCCGCCAACCTGCCAAAATGCGGGTAGATTTCAGCTGTGGCGGGTTAGAGCTAGCCACTTTGGCTGGTTAAAAATATTTTTTAGATTGCCAGTGCTGGCTAGTCATTAAAGATTAGAATTATAATTTATGATCGTTTGTCAATATGCGTGCAAATGTGATCTCTGAATCGAGAAGCAGCACGACTAACTGTTAAAATAACTGTTTGCACACGAGCAAAAGAAAGGAGGGGAATACTGAGTGAAGGTTGATCATGCACACGGTGAGACACAGACACGCTACCGTTACCTTGTGTGCCTGGAAACAGAACTGCTGTGATCGGTTGTCTTTGAAATTCACTGGACAATAAGCGATGCTCGTGCACCCACAGTCCTGCTTCTTTTAATAGCATGATCATACTTTCATTATCGCACATGGTATTTTTCATCTGCTTCCTGCTTGCGGTTATTTTTTAATATGGTTAATTATCATCCTTTGCAATGGCTTTAAAAGGAGATTAGCTCAATTTATGTATAATTAACTGGTGATTTGGCCTGGCAGACTACTGTGCATAGTTTTATGACAATCATTTTTTTAAATGCCAGTTGTTTTTTTAAGAACATTGTTGTTAAATAAAAGTGTATTTATGCAACTATATTTTACATCATTCAAAAGTTGTGGGAAGGAAATAATTAGTTTGAAAAATTTTGAAAAATACATACTTGAGCCCTAAACAGTCACATGAAAATGAAACTAATTGTACATGACAGCATGAAACTTATTTTCTAATGCTCATTGAGCAAGGTCATTCACAAAAAACAAAAAGGTTTAATGAAGGAGGCGTGTGGACATAACACAAAATTTAAATCAAGTAATTTTAGCATGTCAAAGTCAAATTAATGAATAAAATATATTTTCCCAACAAACTTGTGGCTAGTGAAAATGATGAGTGGCTAGTAACATTGGAAAACTACTAGCCACAGTGGCTGGTGCTAAAAAAAGTTAAGCTCTGTGGACAATCATAATATGGAACTGGCTGGGACAAAAAAAATGGAAGCAAGGTGTATATGGACAATGAAACCAAAATACATTATAAAATATTTATTAACACAATAGTCTTGTAAAAGTATATTAGTTCCGCCTATCTGCAAAAATATTATGAATGGTTCCCAAATCTTGTCAGAAATGGACAATTTGTCACTATGTAACATATTTCCAAGTTCTCTAGCCCTTATTTCAAAGTTGGGGACAGGATCAGATTTTCACATTTGTTAAATGAGTTTTTTTGCAACACACATACAAAATACAATTGCATGCGTTTGGTTTCTACTGTACTGCAAGAACTGTCCTCTGCTCCTAAAAGTCCAATACTAGGATCATGTTCCAAATTCACTGAATACACTTCAGAAGAAATGTTAAAAAATAGTATTTTGAAGAATTATGGAAAAAAAGCAGCTATATCAATATTAGGAACAAAAAATACTAAGGAAGTCAATGTTTTATATTCAACAGAAGAAAGACACTCAAACAGGTTTGAAACAAGTGAAGGACGAGTAAATGATGACAGAATTTTTAATTTTGGCTAAACTGTCCCGTTAAAATACAGTTAAAGTCAGAATTATTAGCCCCTGTTTATTTTTTACCCCAATTTTAGATTTTCTAAACATAATAGTTTTAATAAATCATCTCTAATAACTGATTTATTTTATGTTTGCCATGATGACAGTAAATAATATTTGACTAGATATTTTTCAAGACACTTCTATAAAGCCTAAAGTGACATTTGAAAGCTTAACAAGGTTAATTAAGTTAACTAGGTTGGTAAGGGTAATTAGGCAAATGATTGTTTTATGATGGTTTGTTTGGTAGACTATGGAAAATATATAACTTTAAAAAATTTTATTTTTAACATTTTTTTTATTATTTACTTAAAACAAATATTATCAGACACACTGTAAAAATTTCCTTGCTCTGTTACACCTAATTTAGGAAATATTAAAAAAAGAAAGAAATTCAAAGGGGGGCTAATAATTCTGACTTGAACTGTATATTGCAGATTGTGATAAATTGGCTTTAAGGAGTGATTTTGTACAAAAAAAAACTACACTTAAAAAAGAACAAAAGTGTTTACAGAAAGAAGAAAATGACAAAAAGTGTTGACAAAGAAAATGACAGAGAAATTAAATAACTGAAGCAAATCTCATTGGTATTGATTCAGTTTGGTAAACAACAGAGTTCAGACTCATAGAAAGATGAGAAGGATTACACACAGAAAGATCCATATTGAGAAAAAAATGATAAGCAGACATCAGACAAGTGTTGTTTCGACAGACAAGCAAATAAAATGAATAATGGATGAAATGGAAATGAAAATAAACTAAATGTGAGACAGACAGCTGTGCAAGTAAGTTTGAAGAACAGTTAGACAGAACTCCTCATGGAGAAAGACAAGTGGTCAAAGAGAAATAGAACAAAATGATTTATATATTACAAACAGGAAGATATATAAGAACATGTTAGACAGACAGACTGGTATGGGTTCAGTGGGATATATATTTGTTAGTTGGACAGCTTCAAATAAACTGATGTTTGTTAAAGACAGTAAGCCAGGTAAATCAGGAGATGGAGACAGACAGAATGATAGATGGATAGATTTACAGACAGACAGACAGAGTTCAAAAATGTTACATTTTGTACAATACAGAGAGTAAGACTGGCAAATGAAGAGATATACAGATATACAGACAGACAGACAGACAGACAGACAGACAGACATTAGAACGATAGATAGATAGATAGATAGATAGATAGATAGATAGATAGATAGATAGATAGATAGATAGATAGATAGATAGATAGATAAGAAATATAGAGAAAGAGACAGACAGACAGGCGGACGGACAGACAGACAGATAACGTTACGTGTGTTCTCTCTAAAGCAGTAGTGACATTAGCCACGGAGCTAACAGACAGTCCATTCAAAGAGTGACCAAAGACTCTTAACTTAAGTAAATCAAAAGAAAAATACCGCTATTTGAATGATAATTTGCTTAATTATGCATAATGAACTCATTTTCCACTTCACGCTTTATTTATAGACATTCGGCAGTACTTTTGCCCTGCAGTGGGCTACTGCGCTAATGCTGCTAGCAGTCATAAATACGCCCACAGTGACTGAACTAAGTTACACGATCAACACAGGATTCATGCTTCCCTCTCTTACACTCAATCGATCATAACAATCATCGTTACCTGTTTATATGGCCGCTTTTAGCTGAAGTGGACCAACGGAGATGACTGGGACGGTCTGGACCCGACACTCTTCCAGCGTCCACACCCTACTAGAGCCCGAGTCTGAGATCTCCTCCCCGCCGACACACACACACTCATTCCGCGAATCCGCGAAGATCAGCGCCACTGCAGCGCCACCGGCTGGACAGCGAACAAAAACATGGCTTCGGGTAATGTTTTTTTTTACTTCAGTCAGAAATGTGCCCTGTGAAATTGGCAACATTCTTCCTTAATTTTTAACTATTTACCAAAGGCAGTAATTGTAGATGCATCGTTTCCATTAAGTTGGTGTTTAAGGGAAGACATTAAAACACAATTAAATTATTATAATTTCCAGCATGATTTTTTTTCAATAAATATTTTTTTTTCTTAACAATTTAAAAAATTCAAATTCACTAATAGAAAGATCAATACCATATTTTTATTATTTAGTTTATCAAAAGCATGATTTTCGTGTTACATAAAAAGGGTCATATAACATTATGGACAAGGCAATTTTTTTTGGAAAACATTAAAACATATGCTGGAATATTTGGTGGTTCATTCCACTGTGGGGACCCCTGATTAATAAAGGGACTAAGCCAAAAAGATAATTAGTGAATGAATAAAATATATGCCGGAAAAGTTGGCAGTTCATTTTGCTGTAGCTACCCCTGATAAATAAAGGACTAAGCCACTGATCTGTATAGAATTCCACAAATTCCTTGGTGTTCACCTGGTCCCTCAACATCAGCTCTAAATCAAAGAAGGCCCAGCAGCATCTTTACTATCAAAGGAAGGCATAGCTTCCACCAAACATCCCTACAACCTTCTACAGAGGAAAGATAGAGAGCATCCTGAGCAGCTGCATGACTGCCTGGTTTGGAAAATTCACCGACCATTCATCAGAGTCGATCTTCCCTCTGTGATGGACATTTACACTACACGCTGCATCCAAAAAGCCACCAGCATTGTGGCTGATCACACACACCCCTCACAAAAACTCTTCACGCTGCTGTCGTCTGGAAAGAGATACAGCAGCATTCAGGCTCTTACATCCAGACTGTGCAACAGTTTCTTCTCACAAGCCATCAGACTTCTAAACTTAATGTACAACTACAGGTATATTAGCCAACTGCTATTTTTACACTACTCTGTACAACATTTACACCTCAATGACAAATGTTTACCTGTTCAGTAATTATACACTCACCGGCCACTTTATTAGGTACACCTATTCAACTGCTTGATAACACATTTCTAATCAGCAAATCACATGGCTGCAACTCAATGCACTTAGGCATGTAGACATGGTCATTTCTGACAGTTCAAATCGTGCATAAGAATGAAGAAGAAAGGTGATTTAAGTGACTTTAAACCTGGCATGGTTGTTGATGCCAGATGGGCTGGTTGAGTATTTCAGAAAAAGCTGATCTACTGGGATTTTCACGCACAACCATCTCTAGGGTTTACAGAGAATAGTCAGAAAAAGAGAAAATATCCAGTGAGCAGCAATTGTGTGGGCGCAAATGCCTTGTTGATGCCTGAGGTCAGCGGTGAATGACCAGACTCGTTTGATTTGTACTGATAGAAGGGCAAGAGTAACTCAAACAACCACTCGTTACAACCGAGGTATGCAAAAGAGCATCTCCGAAAGCACAACATCTCCAATCAACCTTGATGTGGATGGGCTACAGCAGCAGAAGACCACACCGGGTGCCCTCCTGTCAGTTAAGAACAGGAAACTGAGGCTACAATTTGCACAGGCTCATCAAAATCTGACAATAGAAGATTGGAAAAATGTTGCCTGGTCTGATAAGTCTGAATTTCTGCTGCGACATTGCGATGGTAGAGTCAGAATTTGGCATCAACAACTAGAAAGTATGGATCCATCCTGCCTTGCATCAATGGTTCAGGCTGGAGGTGGTGGTGTAATAGTGTGGGGGATATTTTCTTGGCAGGCTTTGGACCCATTAGTACTAATTGAGCATCGTGTCAACGCCACAGCGTACCTGAGTATTTTTGCTGACCATGTTTATCCCCTTATGACCACAGTGTACCCATCTACCCACTATCTACCTACTATGTCATAAAGCGTGAATCATCTCAGACTGGTTTCTTGAACATGACAATAAACTCATTGTACTCATTGCCGACAAATCTGCAGCAACTGTGTGATGCTATCGTGTCAATATGAACCAAAATCTATGAAGAACTTTCCAGAAACTTGTTGAATCTGTGCCACGAAGGATTTAGGCATTTCTGAAGGCAAAATGAGGTTCAACCCGGTGCTAGTAAGGTGTACCTAATAAAGTGGCCGGTGAGTGGATTTCATTCAATATTTGCACAACATCCAGAGTGTACTGGTTGGCGTTACTGTAACCGTTTCTTTTCTTGTCTTGTCATGTGTTGTCTGTCCTGTCTTATTTGCAGTTTGCACTCGTCATGTTGTCAATTTTTGTCTTTTGATGTAGCACCTTGGTCCTGGAGGAGCATTGTTTCATTTCTTTGTGTACTGCACTGCCTACTGTTGAACTGACGATAAAGCCAACTTGAACTTGAGAATGTTCTCTATATAGATCAGCGGACTAATCTGAAGGAAAATGAATGAATGAGAAAACAAAAATATAATCCATGGTGGCTTTATGTAACTAAATATAACACTTACAGATTTAATAATAAATAAAGCAGGCTCAATGTTTATCTTAGTTTCCACATGGAGCATTTTTATTAAAAGAAAGAGTTCACATGTTAGCCAGGCGGCACTACATAATTATTCAATGTTGTAATAGAGGTATTTAAATATTCATGAAGCCCATTCCACCGAAAAACGATCAACAGTCTTAAAAGGCTTCTGTGACTTTTGGAGGCTGAGTTAAGACTGAATATGCAGCATAAACAACATTTTGCCTCGCCATCAAGATGGAGTTTGTCCTGCGCCTCCTGCAGTTGGTGTTTCAGGAACTGATGTGTTCACAGGTGATGGTGTTATCAGTTCATCTAAAGACTGATTTGTAAAGGTTTTTGCGTCGTTAGTTATAGCATGCAAATTTGTTTCTCCAAAAGCTGAGCCATTCGTCATTGATGATGTCTTAATATCTGATGTATTATTAGGAGATGAGAGAATCTGAAAGCTCTCAGGTGCTGTAGAAGATGTATTTGGGATGTCCTGGATTGATGGAGACATCATTGATGTGTTTGTGATGGCAGAAGAAGGGTTATCTGGTACTGATGTTCCTGCTTTCGCTGCAGCTTCAGCCTCTGCTTTAGCCATTTCTGCAGCTTTGCTCTCCATCTCCTGCATGCGCTTCTGCACCATTGCAGGCATCAGCTGCACATACGTCCCCATTAAACGGTGATTGGTCCTTATTAATTTGCCTGCACAGCTGTCAACACAGCGCTCCTGGTAAACCAACATAAACAAAAGAGGCAAATGGGAGTATATGTGAATATAAAGGCAAAATAAATCTGCACTCCTTAATCTGGTTCTTGAATCTGATTGGCTGATAGCATCTGATATTCCCATAAGAACAGCACTTGTACAGCCTCTTCACTCTTGTGTATTACTCCACCCAAAATAGAATGACAGCAGATCAATGAACTCACTACAGTTTGACAAATATTACAGCTGTTGGACAACAATGTACTTTTGAGGTTTTTTAGAGGTGACTCTGAGTGTTTGATTTTCTGCTTTATGTACATGATTGTGCCATCGAACTGTTGTATAAATGCAATATCACACTCATAGCAGTGTGATATGGCTATATATCGTTACTGGTGGTATACACAATGTACGCCTCCCACCAGTGCCGATATACAGCCATATCGCACTGCAACTAGTGTGATATTGCTCAGATATATTAAAAAAAAACAAACTTTAAAATGTTTGCAATTGTGATTATCTTATGCCTTATTTGAGACATCAGGCTTTTCTGAGGATTTATAAAAAGAAGTTACAAAAAAAATAACTATTAAAACGTGTCTGCGAAAGCATTTAATTTTTTAAAAATCTTGCTTCTTTTGGTTTGAAACTGACAATATTGGTCTATTCCTGCCCTATGATGCAGATTTATGGAAAATGACAGAAGTTTGTAATTTTTGTTTACGAAGCCATTTCTCTTTTAATCTTTCATCTTTTGTTTTGTACCCAAATATGTTAGTATGTTCATAGCTTGTGATGTCAATGCACGTAAATTACAGAAACAAATTTTAGATATCTCACATCTCAGGAAATTGATTGAGGTAAAGTTAGTTTTATTACTGTATTTGCACAGAGCAGTGACAACTTGTGACATGGTCCCTGTATACTTTACTGTGCTACTTTGAATATTCTGTCTGAAACTGCATGCAAGTATGACTTCAAAACAACATAAGCACTATTTAACTGACTGTGAACAATGTTGAACTTTGATAGTCATTGGCTGCTAATATGATTTCATTATTTCAAATTTGCAAATAATACTTTTATGAAATTATATTATTTAGGAGAATATCCGAATGTGCTAAGATAAAACCAATTTTTCCACAATAGGAAGTTGATACACATCAGTCATTTAATATTTTACTGCTAGCTTGATTTCCATACAAGTCCATTTCATTTAAAATTTTCCTTCTTTTGTTCTGTGCCTGATTATATTAGTATACGGAAATATATATATATATTATAAATATATATATATATATATATATATATCTATATATATATATATATATATATATATATATATTTATATATATATATATATATATATATATATATATAGATATATATATATATATATATATATATTTATAAAACTTACATTATAATATCTACAATTATAAATAAATTAACTGCATACAAAGGTAAATTTTTATAAAGGTAACTTTTTATTTGATAAAATCATATGCAACGACAATAACAGTCTTATGTTCTATAAGCCAAATAGCCAAAAACACGTGGTATAAATAGGGGAAGAGCAATTAATTGAAAAGTAATCGAAATCGACATTCAGAACCTATAATCGGTCTAATTTTTCCAGGTCAATTTTTTAAATTACTTTCCCTACCATGTGTGGAGTCAAGGGTTTGCAGCCACATCTGATCTCTGGTCAGGTAGGACGATGGACCTAGCCTTAAGCTTTACTTTGCACTACAGTGACGATGACTGGAAACTGCGCCAGAGATGTCTTGAGACTGCATATTTTCCATTACATTAAAATTATTATTTAAATTAAAATATTTGTTTACAGAAGATGTAAGAAATGCACAGCTTAAAATATTTTTATTATTATTATTATATTATTTAGAAGAGATGCTGCTTATTTTCTACTTTTAATATAAACATTGAAAATATTTTTTCCCTAAAAGTGCAAGTTATTTATTTTCACTTTTGTTTATAAGATTGTTTTAAGCAATGTGTGATTTAATTTCAGTTGTTCAATACTGATGTTCAATTAATAACCATAGATAATAGATAGTGTGTGTTTCCTTCAATTATTTCAAAATCCAGTTATGCATCCTTCATTCAGAAATCTCTCACTTGTAAAATGTGAGCATATTTACTGTGCAAAACCAGTCAGTGAAGTAAACTATGAGGGCAAAAACATAAAATAAATAAATAAATAAAATAATCATTAATTAATCGTAATCGAGTTAAAATGTTCAATTAATCGAGATTTTGGTTTTAGGACAAATTGCCCAGGCCTAGTCGAAATAATAAAATAAAATAATAATAAAAATAATTTGAATATTAAGTAAATATTATCCTTAGTAAAGATTTCTCATCAGGATTTTTTTGTAAATGCCCTACTGTACATATATCAAAGCTTAATTTCTGTTTAGTAAGATGCATTGCTAAAAACTTAATCTGGACAGGTTTAAAAGTATTTTCTGCCTCTATTTAGATTCATTTGAGCCCTCAGATTATAGATTTTAAATGGTTGTTTCTCGGCCAAATATTTTCATATCCCAACAAAAACATACATCAACTTGAAGCGTATTTATTCAGCTTCTAAAATAAGCATAAATCACAATAAAAAAAGTCACTTATATCTGGTTTTGTCGTGCAGGATCACAAGCCTCACCTCATCCATTGTAAGATTTCTGTAGTTGAAATTGCTTGAGCACCGATGGAAGCAGATTTCAGTCATGCGATTATAAACGAGAAGGAAGTCTCGTAACTACACAAAAGAGCACAAAATTAAAATCGTACATATTTTTAAATACGTATAAAACATTTGACACATTTACGAATTAACTAAAAGATGTGGACGCGTTGGATGTCATACTTACATTACGCAGTTGTCCCTGGGGGTCCATTATAAAACTGCTAGTAATCTATCTGTATAAAGAGAAACGTCTAAATAATTCTAAATATATTACAAAACACACGAAAAAAGAAACGATGTCTAAGAGCTATCGCATGACTTTCAACAGCGCGCGGCCATGTTTACAATCACGTGACTACAGGAGCAAATACGTCATAGGGTTTGTCGCGGCGTAAGTTTGGAAAAATCGCTTATCAAGCTTACTGTAGTTTTTCTGTTGCATTTCCCCCTGTCTTTTATGCATTTACATAAAACTGACACAATGAAGACTTAGTTTTATTTTTATTAAGTCATTTTCGTTTAAAAGAGCGTCTAACAGTTTATAAATATCCCACTTTTTTTGTTAGAAAATATTAGGTAACCCTACATTTTTGCACCTTCAAAGCTTCAATGAAATAAAGCACATACAAGAGTCACCAAGACCTTTAATATCATAACAAAACCACAAAAATACATTACAAATGATGACTATTGAAGCCTACAAGTCTTTTATTTGTCATCCTAAATATCATTTTAAAATAGCAATAAACAAGCAGATAAATATATGTTAACATATTACTTTTAGTATGCCCAACAACAGATGGATACTTGAAATGGTCTCCTCTCAGCACAGGCATCATAGTAGGCTATGGGGTGTGTGTGTCTGAGAGAGATGCAGCCTACTTCAGCACTTAGCTTAAAATATCACAGGTGTTGACATCACACCCCACAATATCCTGTGTTTCAACTTTTAAGATGCTAAATGTGTTTTTATTTAGCTCTCAAACTGTAAACTGTCCTGTTCTAGACTTTGTCTTGATCTACCGAGGGAGTGATCAAAGCCTTCGTGCAAATTTCTGTGCAACTCAAACTCTGTCTCTGCATCTTCATCTCTTTCTCTTTCCATTTCCTTCTCTCGTTCTCTTTCTCTTTCCATTTCCTTCTCTCGTTCTCTTTCTCTCTCCCTTTCTTCGGCCTCCAGGGCTACTTGATGGCTGTTGAGGTAGATGCTGTGACGGGACACCATGAGGCTGCTGGTCCGGGATGGGAGGGCGCTATCATCCTCAGGATACTGGTCCAGGCAGTTCTGCTGGGATGAGGGTTGAGGATGCGTCTGGGCCTGGTGAGTCTGAGCCTGTTTTTGGTATTTTCGCTTCTTCCTTCGCTTTTTGTTGGCTGTCAGATCAAGAGAGGCATAAGACACGTCCCCCTGCTGGACCTGGGTGAAAATGACAATGATAGAAATTAATGTATTATAAAATAAAAGAGACAAGCATTAACTGGAAGACTAAGATTAACCTTGACATGTTTTTTTCTCCATAATATATATATATATATATATATATATATATATATATATATATATATATATATATTTTTTTTTAAACCATGTTTAGCTGATTACAAAAATAATCTGTATTTTCATCATGTACCACCTTTTTCATCATGTACCACCTTCAGTGCTTATTGGAAAAAAAACAAAAAAAACTTCAGTTTGACCTTTAGGTTAAATTGCAACATAGCAAAGGTCACAAAAATAAGTTGTGCAATGCAGTTAACATGACTTTCTCTGAGACTCAGAATGTAAACATGCATCGTGATATCTTGCATCTCTGATTTTAATGTCGAAATAGTCTAAAACTGATGCCAAATTATGGCTTGAAACAGAAGTTGCGATAGACTTTCTTTGCGGTTGTGTTTATATTTAAGAAAATGTAGGTCGCTGCATGATTTTATCAAATGATATTTTCTTTTAATGTTGAAATAATCTAAAACTGACGTCAAATAATGGCGTGAAACAGAAGCAGCAGCTGTCTTTATATCTGAGTAAATAAGGCTGGGACTTCAGTTAGAGTTATTTTCAGTCAAAACGACAAATTTTGGCATTAACTTGAATATGTTATGCTCTTTTCTTATGATGTGAAATAACTTAAATATAAGAAAAAATGTACAGCATGATTTTTAAATTAATTTGGGAAGAGACAAAAAACAGGAGAAAGCTGATATACTTTTCTAATTCATTGTGCTTTATTTCTGAATTTAAAAATAAATTAAATGTAGGACAGAGCTATAGATTTTATTGGGAATTTATCTAAATTTTGATATGTAAAGTATTTTTTATAGATTTTACTCTTGAAATACAACATTTGGACACAAAACAGATCATCTTTTTATTTTCTATCGTCACAGGACTTGATTTTGTCCATTGAAAATTGATTTTAATGTTGAAATAGCCAGACTTGCGTCATTTTAGTTGGCGATTGCATGACATAGTCGTCTTTTGTTCAGTATTATCTATGCATATCTGAGTTAAATGGCTTGTCTGATGCGTAAAAATGTTGAGCAGGGCTTGGTTTTGTAAGTTGAGCACTGATTTGAATTGAAAAATAGTTATAATAGATAGCATGTTATTAAATAACACAAAAAACTGAAAACAAAGGGAGACAGAGCCTTCTCAGTCTATGCTCCAAAACTTTCAAACACTTTACCTTTAGAAATTAGAGCTTCATCTACATAAAAAAATTAGTCAAAAAAAATAGTCAAAATGGACTTCTTCTCTCTGGCCTATTGATAGAAATCAGTTTTTAGGACTTATTGATTATACAGATTTTTTACATTTATTTTTAGATCAAAATTTTATTGTAGCATATTGTCATGTCTTTTAAACTGTTTATTATTGTTGCCATGTTTGTGAAGCACTTTGGTCAACATTCTTGTTACTTTAAGGTGCTATATAAATAAAGTTGACCTTGACCTTAAAAAGATTTTCATAGAAAGCAATGTTAAGAAAGACTAAACCTTAAGGCCAAAGACTGAAAATGAAAGTGTCTGTAATGCCTATTCAACTCAAAATCTCAAACAAGAGATAATAAAAAAAGTTTGACAGGGCTTAATTTTGAACATCAGTGATCCCTTTTAATATTCAAATAGTCATAGATGTTAATAAATTTATGACTAAGTTATGTTAAACAAGGTTAAAACTCAATTGCAAATTTTGGCATGAAAGTAAAGTTAAAATAATATTTGTTTATCTTATTGTAACATATATTAGAGTAAAACAGCTTTTCAAATGTTAACAAAGGCCTTGAATTTGGAAATGGATTTTAATGTTAAAACAGTATTTTTATGTTGAAATACTTTACAACTTATTACCAAATGTTGGAATGAAACAGAAGTGTATGTTTTTTTTCTTTGCTCTATTGTGACATTTATCCAATTAAGATAGCATCCCGACCGAAAAGAAAAGTAGGATAATACTTGATTACAGTATGTCCATCAGCAATTGATTTGATCATTATCTCTGCATCTCATATACTTCAAACAGGTTGCTGTATAGTAGGTGTTATTATCCTGTCATTGCGCCGATGCATGTCAATCAGAGATTTTAAGTAAAGATTAATAGGACACATAAATAAAAAGAATAGATGTGCATGGACAATGTATATTCTACAATATGTCATTAAAGAATGAAAAAGCGTCAATTTAGTTTTGATTTGAACTTACAAGAAAGGCTCAGTATCTTGCAGAACTACTTTCACCGCTGCATAGTAATTGAATTATAAATGTATGACTTCAATGAAACTTTTGACACACATTCTGCTGAAGGTGGTCTGAGATCTCTGACCACAGGCACGTTCATTAAAAGACCTTCTGTACCACACATGTCTGTTTTCTATGAGATGTGTGGGCGTGCAGGCCGAAAATAGTTATCATGTGTACATTCTCACGCAGCCTTCTACAAGAATGCTTTGATAATCATTCAGCTATTGAAATTATCATGAAACAACATGTGAATATTGTGTATTTGGTAGTCTGTTTTTTAATTTGGGGTCAAGTTGCAATACAAATACTTGTAATAAGCAACACTTTTTACTTTTAAAAATGTATAAACTGTTTGTAACTGCATTAGACAAAAGAGTTAAATGAAGTAAAAGTTTGGGATGGGTAAGATTTTAAAATAAGAAATAAAAAGTCTATTTGTTTGCATTTTTTGAGTAAAAAACTCCCAAAAATCTTGTGAAGGATTTAAAACAAAGTGAAATACTGAAAAAAAAAAAAAAAAAAATTATATATATATATATATATATATATACTGAAAATATTATATATATAATAAATAATAAATTAAATATTAGATATAATATTTCTGAACTAAAATGTATTCCTGTGATTCAAAGATGAATTGTAAGCATCAAAACTCATTTTCCAGTGTCACATGATCCTTCAGAAATCATATTGAATTGCTGTTCTGTTATGATAAATTATTATTGGGGTTGTTGATATTTTCATGAACATTTATTTGAGTTAAAATCTTTATTATATTATAAATGTATTTTCTGAAATGTGTTCTTGATTATTAAAAACATGTAAAACTTTATATCATTCAAAAAATGATACAAAGATAAAAACAAGCAAAACTGTTTTTAACAGATAACAATCAGTAATATTTCTTGAACTGCAAATCAGCGTATATAATTAAAAGAATCATTTCTGAAATCCCAAACAGAATCAAATTTTGTAATATGCAATTTGTTACTGGTCAGTCATCTATTAAAGAACAATATCCAGGCAATTAACACTTAAACAAAGAAACAAATAAATAAAGAAGTATGTACATGTGTATATAGTCTGTAGTCTTTGCACAGGACAACAAAATCATAAGTCTGAAATCATGACTTAAATCATAACTTACACAATAAAGTCAATCTTAAGTAACTTGTGTTAACTTAATTAATTTTAGATTTGGAATCAACAAAGCTGAATAAATAAGCTTTCCATTGATTATTGGTTTGTTAGGACAGGACCATATTTACAGAGATATATCTCAAATCTGAGGATTATAAAAAAATAAGTCTAAATACTGAGAAAATCACCTTTAAAGATACAGTTGAAATCAGAATTATTAGCCCCCTATTTATTTTTTTCTCTAATTTCTGTTTAACGGAGGGAAGAGTTTTTCAACATATTTCTAAGCATAATAGTTTTAAAAACTCATCTCTGATAACTGATTTATTTTATCTTTGCCATGATGACAGTAAATAATATTTGACTAGATATTTTTCAAGACACTTCTATACAGCTTAAAGTGACATTTAAAGGCTTAACTAGGTTAATTAGGTTAACTAGGCAGGATAGGGTTATTAGGCAAGTTATTGTATAATGATAGTTTGTTCTGTAGACTATCGAGAAAAAAAATATAGCTTAAAGGGGCTAATCTTTTTGACCTTAAAACGGTGTTTAAAAATTAAAATCTGCTTTCATTCTAGCCAAAATAAAACAAATAAGATTTTCTCCAGAAGAAAAATTTTGATCAGACATACTGTGAAAATTTCCTTGCTCTGTTAAACATAAATAAATAAACAAAAATTTAAGGGGGGCTAATAATTCTAACCTCAACTGTACCCAGTGAAGTGCTTAGTGATGCACATTAATAATAAAAATTTGAGTTTTGATATGTTTACATTTGGAAATTTACAAAATATTTTAATGTAACACGATCTTTATATAATATTTTAATGATTTTTGTCATGAAAGAAAAAAAACTATTTGACCCATTCACTGTATTTTTGGTTATTGCCAAAAATATGCGCATGCCACATAAGGCTGTAAGAGGTTTGTGGTGCAGGGTCACTTTAAAGAAAATAACACTTTAAATAATAAAAATGATCATACAAATCAAATTTTTAATAAAAACTGTGATAAAGCCATCAACATTTAACAGATAAATAGCTTTTTAAAAGATAGTTTCCAATGTTTAGTAGCATGCTGTTTTTTAAATTCTGAAATCAAACATTTTTTGCATCGAATACCTTCAAATATCAGCAATTTCCAAAGCAATTTGCTTAAAAAACATACCTTCAATCCATGCTTTACTGTGCTTGCCTGAGACATCTGTTCATAGCAGACATCCTCAGCCATTTCAAAAGCTCCTGCATTAAATACACAACACATTCTTCATCACCATAACAGCTGAATTATTAGCAGCACTCACTACTTTAAAACAACTGAGCGAAACCTACCTCCTCCTTCTAAACAGATATTGCCATAAATAGGATTTTCCTGTCTTTCCATTTCATCATCCTCAAACCTGCTTAACACAGAACCGAAAGCACATTTCTGTCATTCAAAGAGCTGCGGCTGCGTGAAAAGGATCTGCGCTAAATTAAAACTTATTTTTGTTTTATTTAATGTGTCACCTGTAAGACTGAAGTGAATCTCGGCGTAAAGCCTCATCTCCATAATCATACATGTTTTCATTGGCTGAATACGAAAGAAAGGAAACCGTTTAATGTCTACAAGTAAATGTGAACTCAACGTACTTTCTGAATACGTGACCTGCATGGACCACAAAACCAGTCTACTGTCGCATAAGTCTATTTATGGCAGTAGCCAAAATTACATTTTATGGCTTGAAATGATACATTTTCCTTTTGTGCCAAAAATGATTTGACCATTAAGTAAAAGATCATGCTTAATTCAGACATGTTGTCAATTTCCTTTCTGTAAATGATTTCTTAATCTTCTCAGAGTATTCTCAGCCATACTCTCAGTATTTAGATTTTTTTAAACCCTCAGATCTTCCAGTATCTTGGAGAACTATTTTCCTATCACAACTAACCATACATCAATGGAAAAGCTTTTTGTGTATATATTTAAATTTTAGACTATAAATTATGACTAGTTTTGCAGTCCAAGGTCACATTATTCTATACAATTCAGACCTACTGTATAAAAACATACCTCTGCATTTTCTTTCCTTTCTTCTTAATAAATAGAAAGCGACATTTAAACACAGAGATATCAGCAGCCCAATAGATAACAGACCAACTGCCACATATGCAACTGTACAATTACAGCAACCTTGAGCAAAAGAGAGAGTTAAAGGACAGTTCATTATTTGACATATTGTACTGGCTACATCTTTTACATCTCATTTATTTTCACTATATTTTGCATGTTGGTGATCATATTAACATTTGGTCCAATTTTTATTTGTAGTTGTTATTGTTTTTTTAATATTATTATTTTGCCAACACTTTAGGCTAACACATTATAACACTTAAAAAATGCTGGGTTCCACATAATTCCTTCATGTTGTCCTAACATAAACAGATTAAGATAACTTGTGTTGTTTCAGCTCATTGTAAATAAGTTTGAACGAGCAGCAAAACAATTTCTTTGAGTGAATAACTGCACATGTAAAAAGTCATTACTTAAAGTGAGTAAAACAAATTGCCTTAAAAGCAACAAGTTGACTTTACTTAAAAATAATCTAAGTAAACCCATTGTAACTTAAATCTGTTGGGTTGACTTAACTTGTCTGCTATTATGTGATTTTACTAACTTTTTTTTAAATACAGTTTACTAATAGCTTTTTTACTGTGCATTAGGCATTAGCAAATCCTAAATATATCGTTTGTTCTTGATCAATCTGCCGTTCATTTCTTTTACTATTTAGAATATAACTTTTAGAATATATTAATGTCGAGTTAATGCTTAATAAATGATTCATACACTGTAAAAAAAATGCAGGGTCTCACACAATTCCTTCATGTTGTCCCAACACAAATCTATTAAGTTAGATTAATCGTTTTTACAAATTTAAGTTGATTAAACATAAAACAATTAAGTTGAATTAAATTGTGTAGTTTCAATATATTTGTATTATATGAACAAGCAGCAAATGTTTTTTTTATTAGTACTTATAAAGTATGATCACATTCCACATCTGTAATCCTACCCAAACACCTTACTAACAGTTAATAAACAGATAATTAGTAGTTTACTGCGATGATAGTCTTAGTTAAAGGTTTTTTAATATTGTGAGTTGTACAGTAAAATAAAGTGTGACCCTTATTTTTAATTCCTGAAACTTAAATAAATATCATAACATTTTCATCCATTTGGTTTAGGCAGAAATGATCTCAAACTGTTTATAAACACACACACATATCCTTAAAACAAATCAAGAAGTTTCCTTCAATGAGTAAAAAGGATTTCATGAATCTACTGTATAGATTTAACTATTATATTCTATATTATTTATACACTTCTCTAATCTGGATCAGTTCATAAATTTGTATTAGTAGTAATTGTTTCATGGCAAGTGTAATTTAACATATTAAAAAGAAGTCCTAAAATGTAAGGATTTCAATCTCTTCAAGTCAAACGAATACAGTTTTTTATGCAGTTTTAGTCTGCCATTATACAAGAACATCTACTGATGGAGAGCTTTTATTTAAAGATGATGCATTCAAAAGTAACATAGAATGTTTGCATACAGACGTGTTAAAAATTTGTTTATCTTACCTGTCATCCTGATTTAAGTGGGTCAAATCTCCAATAAAGCCTGTCTGATAAAACATTCACTTGTACGCGAGCATGTTCAAGAACAAGTGCAGTAGTCTTGCTGCTATTTTTATCGTCTTAAGATGTTTTCGGTTACAAACAGGAAATGTAGCGACTACCTTATTCGTTGCAAACGTTCACATCACAAGTAAGACAGGTTGTGTAGAGTCATCAACTGCTCACTGTAGTTAAATGTACATTTATTCAGTCAGTCATTGTTTATTAAAAAAAGTGATCAAGAAAATGTTTAGTATTTAAATATTTAAATTTGATTTATCTTGTATTTTAATATAGGCTTACATTTTAAACAAAAGAAATACACTAACCCATGTTTTTAGGGGGCAAAATTTGTGGTTTGTATTTTTGTTTATGAAAGTTAAATAGGCCTACTCATGTTTTCAGTCATGCATTATTTTTTATGTGTAAGCAAAATCTTGTCATTATTTTTGAAAATAAGGTGAAAATAAAATTTTCAAGCATTGATAAAACTTCATTATTTGAATAATTTCTCAGAATGTTATGTTTGGGTCCTTAATATTTGGTTATATCCTTGAAATTAAACAAAACTGTAATTCCACGGTATAGTTATTCTGTTTTGTATATGCAATAAATCCCCCGTTTGCGTTTAGAAATGATATTATTGTATAGAAATTAAAAAACATAAGCGTTTTTATAATCAAAATGATGTTCTAATATTCAAAACAGTACATTCAAGTCTATTTTTTATCTAAAATTTCACATACTGTTCTTTTAATATTAACCACTGTTTTTTCACACCCTACCCTCTATATTATGCACAATATTACAAAATACAACAGTAGATTGGAAGCATGGTTACAGTACAGGATGCAGATCATGAATGCTAAAATGATCAATCCTTTTTTCTGAATTTTCCATTTCCGACCACAACAGCGAGAGCAGGAAACGTCCTTCTGCGTGAACGTGTCGCATTTGTTGAAGCAAATACCACAATGCACAAAACTCTTTGTACTCTCTCTCTCTCTCACACACACACTTTTGTTTTCTCTGCATTTAAACACACAAAAAGGCTATCAGGCTGCATGACTTTACTCAATCACAAATGCATTTCATTTCTATATTCTGCTTCAATGGTAGCCTAACCGCATATTGAATGGCCAAACTTTATGTTAATAGCATAAACTGAAACAGAAATGCAGCTGAAATTATTTTATATAATCAGCCACCGTCAGAAATTATGTGCTAATGAAGTTTAAGGCCAAGTTAATGGCCTTTGTGGATTAAGCCTCAAAGATGGAGGATATACAGTATCTGCCGGTCACTGTCTGATGTGGTTTTGTCAGTTGGTTGTCTCGACTATCTGAGGCGTAAACTGAGGTTTTATGAGGCTTGAGACAATCGGTTGTTAGCCATCGCTTTGCTAAAAAAACATTCAGCCGCAACAGGAATTCAGCATTATGTACTGAAAAAAATATTTTAAAATGATTTATTGAATTTACTTTTTTTATTAAGTTAAATGCAAACAATTTATTTAGGCTGAATTTAAACAAATTAAGTTGAACATTACTAAATTTAATTTGTTCAAATTCAACAATATTGCAGACATAATTTTTTCAGAGTAATTTCAAAGATGGCTGCCATTTCATCATATTAAAAGGGTTTTGTGGCATTCAAAGCCACATTGCATTAGCTGGGTGATTTATTGAAGGTAATAGATGATTTAAGCTGTAAAGTTTCCTGCATGACCTAGTCATATTTCTGGAATTTACCTTAGTTTTTAATACCACCTCCACACTAGGTTTTTGTCTTGTAAATTCACACATTTCAGGGAAAAATCTTTGATACTATGTAGGAGTAATCAGTCTGTTAAATAAAACTCTGCCAAAAATAAAAAGGTATTTGAATTTATATTTATTGTTTGTCATACAAAAGAAAACAAATTCAAAGTTTACCCCCATTAAAACAAAGAACATACAAATATTTAGATATACATTTTTATATAAACACTGTTTAGAAAAAATAAGCCACAAAATTCACATAAAAAACTCTTACAGTAACAAAAATATAACAAAATACAGCATAAAAAATGTCAGTTTACCCGAATATTGTTTATCTTTGAAACATGATTTTTAACCTGATAAGTGTAACCATAAACTTTAATCAACACATACAGTGCATTCGGAAAGTATTCATAGCGCTTTACTTTTTCCACAAACATTTGTAATGTTACAGCCTTATTCCAAAATAAATTACGTTAATTTATTTACTTAACATTCTACACACAATATCCCATAATGTCTATGTAAAAAATATATATATTTTTTTTAACTGTTGCAAATGTATTCAAGTAAAAAACCTGAAAAATCACATGTACATCAGCATTCACAGCCTTTGCTCAATACTTTGTTGATGCACCTTTGGCAGAAATTACAACCTCAAGTTTGTTTGAATATGATGCCACAAGCTTGGCACATCTATCTTTGGGAATTTTTGTCCATTCTTCTTTGCAGTACCTCTCAAGCTATATCAGGTTGGATGATAAGTGACGGTGTTCAGCCATTTTCAGATCTCCCTAGAGATATTCAATAGGATTTGGGTCTGGGCTCTGGCTGGGCCACTCAAGAACATTCATCGAGTTGTTGTGAAGCCACTCTATTGATATTTTGGCGGTGTGCTTTGGGTCAGATGAACCGTCTTCACTGTCTGAGGTCAAGAGCACTCTGAAGCAGGTTTTCATTCAGGATGTCTCTGTACATTCCTGCATTCATATTTCCCTATATCCAGCCTAGTCTTCCAGTTCCTGCTGCTTAAAAACATCCCCACAGTATGATGCTGCTACCACCATGCTTCACTATAGGGATGGTATTAGCCTGGTGATGAGCGTGTCTGGTTTTCTACAAACGTAAGGTATTCACTCCAAAGAGTTCAGTTTTAGTCTCATCAGACCAGAGAATTTGGTTTCTTATGGTCTGAGAGTCCTTCAGATACCTTTTGACAAATTCCAGGTGGGGGTGACTTCCATCTGGCCGCTCTACCATACAGGCCTGATTGGTGGATTGCTGCACAGATGTTTGTCCTTCTGTAAGGTTCTCCTCTCTCCACAGAAGAACACTGGAGCTCAGAGTGACCATCGGGTTATTTATCACCTTCCTGACTAAGGCCCTTCTCACCTGATCACTCAGCTTAGTTGGCCGGCCAGCTCTAGGAAGAGTCCTGGAGATTCCAAACATCTTCCCCTTATGGATGATAGAGGCCACTGTGCTTATTGGAACTTTCAGAGGCAGCAGAAATTTCTTTGTAACATTCCCCAGCCTTGTGCCTTGAGACAATCCTGTCTTGGAAGTCTACATACAATTCATTTGTCTTTAGCCCTGGAACCTTATATAGACAGGTGTATGCCTTTTCAAATCATGTCCAATCAATTTACCACAGGTGAACTCCAATTAGGCTGCTGAAACATCTTAAGAATGATGAGTGGAAACAGAGGCTGTTTCTCAATTCCAAGAACGCAGAGAACGCGGAGACCGGTCTTGCCAGGTGTCCTCGGAAGAACGAACTCAGGAGACCACGAGGGCAGAGAACGCATCATTTGAGAATTGAGATGCTGCGTTCTTCCTGATGGTCACATGACCTTCACATGTTTTAAATGGTAAATTATTTGAACATTACAGCCTTCATACAACGATTTATTGTTTTTCCCCTTTTCAAAATATATATTTTGCATAAAAACATTATAAATATACTCTGCACAATATAAATAAAACAGATTTTAAAACAAATTTTAGCAAACAAACACCCTTAATGTGTTTATTCCTTTATTAAGATGTCCATGGTGATGTTACTTTCACCGTTTCATTTAGGGAAACTCCTGAGGTAAATAAGTGATATCTCTGAACTTTAATAATAAATCTAAATAAAATGCTGCGCTTCCCACCTCCAGTCGCAATGACTTCTGGGACTTCCAGAGCAAGTTTGGTGCTCAAGTCTGCATCGTTGCGTCCTCGATATCAAGATTGGAACTGAACTTAGGCAGCAGATGATGACCTTGCACGAGAACACGAGGACGCAAGACCGCTGAAGAACGCATATTGAGAAACAGCCAGAATGTACCTGAGCTCAATTTAAAGCTTCACGGCAAAGGCTGTGAATATTGATGTACATGTGAATTTTCAGGTTTTTTATTTTTAATAAATTTGCAACAATTTCAAAAAATATTTTTTCACATTGTCATTATGGGGTTTTGTGTGTAGAATCTTGATAAAATAAATGAATTTAATACATTTTGGAATAAGGCTGTAACATTAAAAATATGGAAAAACTAAAGCGCTACTTTCCAGATGCACTGTAACTGATATCAGTTGATTGGTCAAAGTTTATTTTATGGTACAATTCTTGCTATTACTAAACAATATAAACAAGACTTAAGATGACTTTAAGCTCAATAAAGTATTAGCTTCCTGCTTATTAATAGACAGTAAGATAGTAGGATTTAGATATTGGGCAGGATTAGGGATGTAGAATACTAGCAAACTTTAAAAGTACTATAAACAGCCAATATCTTAACAAGTAGTTAATAGTGGGAATTGGTCCTTAAATTAAAATATTACTAGCTTGATGAATACAAGCTGAAATTAAAACAAATTCATCCTATAAAGCAATCATCTCTTCTGAAGACTTTTAGAAGCATCAAAGGTTAGGTTTGTGTGGACTTTCAATGGAGAAACTAACGTCTGTCAGGTTTCATTAAAAATATCTTTTGAAGATCTGTGTTTTGAACGAAAGTCTGAGAGGTTTGGAACAACAAGAGGATGAGTAATGAATGACAGAGTTGCAGTCTTAACAGAAAAGTCCTCCAGTCAGTCTTTTTGTGGCCCACGGTCTGCGAGTACTAAAGTGAATGATGCATTCAGACAAGAATATCAGTCATGCGGATATCAGGGTTCCTCACTGATGTGTATTTCACTGGTGGTGGGGGAGGTTTGAATGGGGGTGGCCTATCCATTCTGAAAGAAAAAATGAAGCAAAAACATTGATAAATGGAATGAAAAGATGTAGGATGCTAATATGCTAATGGACAAATCATCTCACTTTTTCTGGTTCCGGTATCTTCCATAGAGAAGCACAATGAGCACGAGTAAAATTAACACAATCGGAACAGCCACAAATGCTTTGCTTTTCGAGCCTGAAAGAGAAACAAGAGGATCAGTTTTACAATTAGCTCAAGTCTTGGCCTGAATGCATATCCTGTTTGCATCGTGAGCAAGTTTGCTTAAAAACACCACACGGACTGCTTCCAAAAACAAAGCACATGCTTTCTTGAGTATACTTAGTTTTTATAAGCTGTGAAGAAGTTATTTTTAAAAATGTGTTCTGTATGGTATAAATATGATCTTTATGTATAACATTTACATGTTGTCATCATCATCATGTGACCATCAGCATTGGTTAGCAGGTGCTATTCAAAAAAAAAAAAATCTGTTTTGCCTTTTCTTGGAATGTAAAATGTCCATCTAATGCACACTTAGGAATCTAACTTATACAGTATCTGGTGATTTAGACACTTTATGCTAACTCATTTGAGAGTACTATGAATTCTGACATACTTAGTCTAATATATAGTGGTAGCGTATATGATTTTGGATGCACCCCTAGTTATGTCACAGATTAAAGAGCGAGATGTCATGCATGTGTCATAGCTGTTCAAAACAGTATAAATCAGACTCTGAAGGGCATTTTGGAGTGAGAACAATCAGGAATTCCATAATGAAGAGGAATTCCAAAGTGAAGTTCTCTTTATAGAGATACTTTATAATAAAAGATTTTGAATAGCTGTGATTTTTGTTTTTGTTACATCCCAATACAGCATATACATTTATACTCATTCAACTGAAGCTATTTAGAAATTAATTATTAAATATTATATCAAAGTATGAAGCAAAATATTAGTAAAATAGTACCACAAACAAAGTAGATCATGAATATGGAGCGCTTTGTATATGGACTTGACCCTGAATGAGGTTTTATTGGGTTGCTTGTGGCAAGTTTTTTGCTTCAAGTTCACTAAAGAGGGCATCACGTTGGTGCTGTGTGTAGCACGACCGCCTCACAGCAAGAAGGTTGCTGGTTTGAGCCCCGGCTGGGTCAGTTGGCATTTGTGTAAAGTTTGCATGTTGCAAGATTTGTGTGGGTTTCCTTCTGGTGCTCTGGTTTCCTTTACAGTCAAAAGAGATGCGCTATAGGTGAATTGAATAAAATAAATTGCCAACTATATTGATGAGGGGAAACACTGAATCATTTGAACCTACTGCAAAATGATTCACTGTATCCTATCTCTTGGAACACCACAGACTGGCGGCCTCTGCTGGTCAATACTATACAAATACAACAAAAACTGTTCTCATGACAGTGCAATCTATTAAGTACCAATCTAAGAATTACCGTATTTAATTGCAATCTAAGCATGATTAATTACCATTAAATATAAAGGATTGGTAAAATGTGTCTTCTTTTAATAATGTGTAGTCCCCTAGTGTTTGTTTTGAGTTGTCAGGTATAACTAACTCTAATGCAGAAGTAGTCCTATTAAAACAAAATAAAAATCATATAAAACTTTGTTCAAAAATGATCAAAATACATTTAAAATCTGACATTGGCTGGGTGAATAATAAAAGCAATTTTCTAGTTTGTTTTGTCAGTAAAGCCGATTCTAGTAAATCTCCACCACATGCTTTTAGATGGTTCAAGATAGTCGTAGTTAGGGTTGGGTCCATACGATAGACAATACCATTGTACAGCGTACACGCGTGTTTGAACTTCAGCAGTCAGCAGGTGCTTAGAGCACAAAACCCCTAAGAGCAGTGCGCGTTGGACAGTTTATCAAGGATGTACTGCTGGATCACGTCTCACTATAGTTGTTAAATGTGATATTTAATTCATCTTGTCTCTATCTGATGACTGTCTTTTGAATCTATCAGGTAATGTGTCACAGAGTCAGAAGGGGAGCGCGGGGCACAAAGTAACGCGGGGTAAAATGTAACACAGTTTTAAGGTATTTGCTTAGGGTTGATCATGACCATGCTTCCAAGGTTTTCACCACAGTGTCGGCAGACGTCTTTCTGCCAATTATTGAAACCATTTGGCAATTTGGATGAGAAACTCAGGAGAAACCATTTTTGCAGCATAAATGTTTTTTAATAAAGTCGATATTTTTAAGTTTAAAAAATCTGTAAAAATAGGTAAGTAAAATCTTTTATATACTGTTGTGATTACCGTCTTCTAGACTAAAAGATGAAACCTTTTTAAAAGATGTAAAAAACACACAGTGACTACCAGCCAGTTTTGAAAAAACATGGCACAGCGGGCCACATACTGTTTGACATCTAACAAAATATTTGTTGAATTTTGAGTGTAATGTTGAGAACTTTTTAAAGAAAATGTTTATTAATAGAAAATATTTTTTAATAGCCAAAAAAAAAAGTTATTGCTAATCCGAAAAACAAATATGTTGGATAATAATGCATAACAATCCAAATAAATGCAAATGTGTTTATCCAGTAAATAAATAAACATGCTGTGCTATGTAGAATAAAAAAATTATTGAGTTAAGTACTGAGGAAATATAGCTACTATTTAAACTAGATATAAGATAATTGTGTAAGATCTGCCTTTTATAGCATGTGCTACAACTAACCCTCTGTCTGTTACAACTTGCCCCGCAGGTGGGGTAAATAGTAAAATTTTTACTCCTGGCATTTTTGACAATACAGCACAGAAACTATAAGTCTCCACTACACTTCCTAATCTGCAATTGCCTCTCTGAATATCACACTAACTGTACCAAAAAAATAAATAAATAAAAATAAATAAATAAATAAATACTAATACTTCCCTTCTTAGACTTTACAGACCTGAAACTTGCCTATAGCAATTATTCATTGTTGCTCTTAGTTGTGTAAATTGCTTCCTTGTCCTCATTTGTAAGTCGCTTTGGATAAAAGCGTCTGCTAAATGACTAAATGTAAATGTAAATAAGTCCAGCGATCATACAACCAGTGCTCATTTGTAGGAGAGGCTTGTGTGCTGTTGGTAAAAACAACTGGTTTGTCTAACCCCATTACTTTGTTCATTATTTGGCCAAAACCAAAAAGTGTTACTTTGTGCCCTGCTCTCCCCTACACTGCTTCAATCGTTCAATTTCATGCTTCCTTGTACTCAGTAATTTTAGCAAAAACCTCAGATACTGTTGGTTGGTTGCTGTTGGTTGTGCACCTTTTTTACCAACTAAGTTTGTAGGCACCATTATAGCGACACAGATCACTCTGCCGATTCATGCCAGAGTCTCGCGGAAAAAGTAATTGACAGGTGGTAATTTTTGTGTAACTTATCTTTAAATATTTACGATTTGGTTATGGGTAAAACAAAGACCATGCGGGTCAGGTAGTTGAAACATTAGACTACAAATAATTAATTCATTATGAATAAATGAATTATTTATAATAATAATGGAAGACATGACACTGCCACTGGCCAATTTGGCTGGTTGAAAATAATTTTACTGGATAATAATTCTTAAAAGCAGGGTTCGACAATAAGGATGGTCCAATATGATGCAAAGGCAATCTTAGAATAGAGAAGCAACACGGCTGTCAACAATATTTGCGTTTGCGTAAGCAATAGAAAGCAGGTGAATACCGAATGAGAGGATAATCACTCATGCTAACAGCTGAGGTGATGCGTGCTGCTGTTTAAAACGTGTGCGCGCTCCCGTATACTTGCGTGAATGGTTCTCTTTCAATTAGACAAAATGTGATGAACATGCACCCACAGTCTTACTGCTTTTTTTTTTTTGAGCTCCAGATTTGTCTTTTTGTAAGCAGCACCGGTTGCTTTTGCTTTAAACATTCTTTGAACAGATTGTTAATGGGTCTAATGTTAACCGTGTGTGTGTGTGTGTGTGTGTGTGTGTGATCGTCTTTTCATTACCACACTTTGTTTTTTTTACCTGCATTTTTTTGCATTAATATGGTTTAATTATCTTTTTTTTTTACAATAACATTGCTTTATTGGGAGATTGACTCCCCATTTATGTGTAGTTAACTGGTGATCTGAGACCTTTAGCCAGAACATATTACTGTGCATATGTTATGTTAACTAAAAAGTATAGTATGCAGCTACATTTTGCCATATAATAGTTTTGACACATTTAAAATTTGTGGCTCAGAACTAATTGATTGTTTGTGTTCGGTGTGGTCAGAGATACATTTGGTAAATCTTTCATTTTGAGCTCTGAAAATGATGTGAAATAAAAACTAATTGTGATACTCTGTAACCAGGACCCATTTGCTCATGATTATTGAGCAAGCACATACACGACACACAAAAAGTGAAATAAATTAGGAGGCATGTGGAGATAACACAAAATCTTTGAATGAAAAACATTTTAGCATGTCAGAGTCATGTCTTTAAAATATAGATTTTTCTAACAATAAAAGTGTCGCTAGTGAAAATGGCGAGTGGCTAGTAGTATTGGAAAACTACTACCACAGTGGCTAGTGATCAAAAAAGTTAATGTCAAGCCCATATAGCCACTATGTTAAAACGTGGCCTTAGTTACTAGATTCATTAGCTAACAACAGGCTATCAATTGTTTTGATTAAAGTTAGCCCAATCTACATTTTGGATTTAAGTTGAAAATAAAAAGTTATGAGCAGTCTATGTTACGAGCAAATAACATATGGCTATCTTTTTAAGACTAGCCTAAGTGCTTTATGCAACTGCCGTCTGGTGAATTCAATACAAGCTCTGAATCTACTGTGTGAAATGAAATGTGTCTAAATGTTTTAAAGCTTCATGATGCAGTGTTTTGAAAGTGCCAATACCTAACCAATGTAACCCAACACCTGAGTTACGTCAGCACAAAATGAAGTTTGTTTCAGGGCAGAGCATTTAAAATATATATGTAAAACACAGCAAACACTTTAGTTTCAAGTCAGATCTGATTAGAAACTGACATTTCCGTTACCTGTGGTGGTGCTGTCTTTCTGTGTCGTAACAGAGGGGACTGTTATTCTGCTGGTCTCTGGATCTGGACTTGTGCTTGTTTTGTTTGTATGAGTGGTGTTTGTGGACTGTACAGCGCTTGTATGTAATGTTGATGCAGTGTCAGCAGCTGGTGCTAAAGAGCTGCCAGTGAGAGCAGTGTGATGGATGGTGTTTCGGGGTTGTGTGTTTGTCACAGTAGTATTTGGTTTTGAAGTGCTGGTGAGGATGGGATCAGATTTAGTTGTTGTTTTGCTGTCAGTAGCACCGCTGCTGCTCCAGGATTTCATCTCCAGGGTGGTAAAGCTGCTCTGATGTTCAGTGGTTTTTAACGGAAGACAAGTTGTAATTTCTTCAACAGCAATTATCATGGGGAAAAAAACAAACAAATATATAATGTAAGGTAGTACATATTACAATTTGTACATTGTACAAATGAACCACATAACATTCTAAAATAAATAATATATGTACACAATAATATATTCGCTGTTTCCCAAGGAGGCACACCAACAGTACATATTTTGGATGTCTCCCTTATCTGATCCATTAACTTCAGGTTAATGGAGTGTCTACTAATGTTCTTATGAGTTGATTCAAGTGTGTTTAAATAGGAAGAGGAGCAAAATGTGTAGTGTTGGTCTGCCATTAGGAACAGGGTTGGGAAACACTGATCTACACTGATCTACTTTGAATCAATTTAATTAAAACAAGTCATTTCAATTTATATTGGATTAAAACATCAACTTGAATTTTGTTTGATTAAAAAATAAGTTTAAACAAGGTTAACATTTATTATTAAGGTAAAGTAGCCTAAAACATATTGGGTTATTACTTATTGATCCAATAATTTCTTACAGTGTTATTGTTGATGTTCATTCATTAGCTCCATTAGATACTATTAACTGAATTGATTTTAAAATAAAATGAGTAAATTCGAAATCAAGATTAAATAAGATATATAAATGTAAATAAAAACTTAAAAATCAATACTGCATAATAAAATATTGGTGTACGTTTTGTCAATGTTATTAATTCAATTAACAGTCCCACTTTTTATTAAGTGTCCTTAACTAATATGTACTTAAACTGAAATTAACCATTTGCTACAATGTACTTTTTGTGCAAATATGTGTTTTTACATTGAACTTATGATTTCCTAAATACACGCAAGTACATCTGTAATTAATCTCTGTAATTACATTTACAATTACACACTTGACCATCCCTTTTTAACCCATCCTTAAAACTACCCATACCACAGATCCTGTTCCGAACCCTACCCATATCCCACATCATTACCACCAGAAGTGTTCTGCAATACATTATGAACGAAATAAGTACATTGTATTTACATTTTGATGCAAGTACATAGTAGTTAAGGACACTTAACATAAAACGGGACCTAATATAATATTTTTTATAATAAATTATTTTTGTAGGACTATCAATCCAACCAGTATGTTTCCCTGCCTAAATAGATAATTATATTATATTATAGTCATTACTAATGAATGACTAACCATATGCATTTTTATTAAGGTCATTCAGTTTATTTTCTGTTTAACGTTTTTTCACATGGGCACGGCTGGCTGCTTACAATATAAATGATTTCAGGTTTTAACATCCTTGTGGAGACATTACATTTGCACAGTGTTGGCAAAACTGGACACACACACACACACACACACACACACAGACAAATACCCAACAAACAATGAGTCCTGGAGGGCCTTAAATGAGGGAAATTGATCAATTAACTCCCTTTCCACAATTAATTTATCCCCAAGAGCTTCAGTGGTTTTTCCACTGTTTGCATTTTATTGTTTATTATTCACTGTTAATAAGCTGGCATCTCAACGAAAGGAATTTTAAATTGTCCTATTGTTGCAATAAAAAACAACAACAACAATGTACCTTCTCTTTGCTTGGGAAGAACGTGGATATAAACCTCGTTGTTTATCTGGAGCTTCTTGTTCTGAAAGACAGCTGTCAGTTTGTATATTCCTGACTGTTCAGACTTCACAGAAGTCAGAGCCAAAGTGTGTGAGAGAGACAGTGTTTCGTCCCCCTAAAAAAAAGAAAAATACCACACTGACATGTAAAACAAACTAAAGCAGGTAATACAAATGCTCTATTCAAAGCAATGCTGCCTAATTATTTAATTTCAGTCTCTTAATATTTCTTAATATAATCTTACCCTCATCCATTCATACAGCAAGTTCTGAGATGCATTTGCGATACATGAAATCACCGCATCTTCACCAACACTGATGTTTAAAGAGCTGCTCAGGTTACACACAATGTCATCAAGATCTGTTTGGGGAAAAAAAAGGAATAATAAAGGTACAGTGTAGGTCAGAATTATTAGCCCTCTTTAATTATTAGTCTACTGTATAATAATATTTTTTTTATCTTATTTTCTGTTTATCTGAAACATTTATTTATTAAATTTACCAAATCTCTAAACATAATAGTTTGAATAGCTAATTTTTAATAACAGTTTTTTTTTTATATTTGCCACGATGACAGTACATGATATTTTACTAGATATTTTTCAAGATACCTCAAATTCAGCTTAAAGTGCAATTTAAAGGTCTCACTAGGTTAATTGGGCAAGGAATTGTATAACAATAGTTTGTTCTGTAGAAAACAAATTCCTAATAATAATGAACTTAATTTTTTTTTTATTTAAAAGCTGCTTTTATTCAAGTCGAAATAAATCAAATAAGACTTTCTCTAGAAGAAAAAAATATTATAGGAAATACTATTAATATTATTAGTATTAGAAATACTAAATAATATTATTGGGAAATGTTTGAAAAAGGAAAAAAAGAATTCACAGAAGGGCTAATCATTGTGTATATTCAAGAATACATTTCAAAGATTCAGTAGATCTGTATTATTAAAAGGAACGCTCACAATTCACAGTCAGTTCCATAGTGGCATTGAGACCTTGGCGATTTTGTTCTTGTGAGTCCCATTCAGGTAAGCAGATGTACAGATCACTGTTTTTTCTTGTGACGTTTGGTAAAATAAACTCTCCATTCAAACTGTTCTTCGAGAAAAGCTCATCCTGATGAAGAGATGGGGATCAGTGCAGAGCCTTATAAAATGCGGAACAGAGAAATGTCTATTTTCATTTGACTCACGTTTGACCGTTTCAGTTTATACCGGAGTGGTGGAGGACTTGCTGAACATGTTAATTTCACCTCGTCCCCTTCTTTATAGAAGTCGTATGAAGCCAACATCTTCACTGATGCTGGAAGCTCTGGATGAAAAGAAAGATTATGCTTGCTCACTTTACATTTTAAATGGACTATATGCGCTCACAGGACGCTTGTTTCTGCCACAGATAAAAACAAGTAAAAGGGTAATTGAGCAATTCCAGCATTACGGATGTGACATTTACAGGAGAAACTTGAAAATTAAATTCACAGCAAATGTATATGTAACAGTACACTACCTGACAAAAGCCCTGTCGCATATCCAAGTTTTAGGAACAACAAATAACTTGACTTCTAGTTGATCATCTGGTTTCAGAAGTGGCTTATATGAAAGGCAAAGGCCTCTAGATTAGGCTTATTTTACCAAAATAAAATATGATCATGGCTTGATTTTTAATTATTTAATTATTTGCTTAATAATGTTCAATTCTAGTGACTGGGATGGCCAATCCTGGAGCACCTTGACCTTCTATGCTTTCAGGAACTTTGATGTAGAGGCTGAAGTATGAGAAGGAGCACCATCCTGCTGAAGAATTTGCCCTCTTCTGTGGTTTGTAATGTAATGGGCAGCACAAATGTCTTGATACCTCAGGCTGTTGATGTTGCCATCCACTATGCAGACCACTTGCACGCCCCCAAACTAAATGTAACTCTGAACCTTTTTTTTTCCTTCACAAAACTTCACTGATTTCTGTGAGAATATTCACTCCATGTGGGTTCCAATAAGTTTTCTGCAGCTCGACAGATCAAATTTCTAAATAATCAATAAGAATACAAGTTTTAATTTGTTGCTTTTACAACTGGGATCGACGACAAGACTTTTGTCAGGTACTGTATATTGAAATATCTGTATTGAAACACATTTTCTAATACAACCACAGAGAGATCATAAAAATTTCAATCTGTAAATTTGTTATATATTTTAAGTGAGGGAAATAAACATGCATTATGGGTGTGACCATAAATGCACTAAGTAAAAATTCTGTGAATAGCACAACCTGCACAACCCAAAATAAATAATACAAATCAAAAAGATAAAAGTTGGCTCTAAACAAAAATTATGTATTTTATTTAATTTTTGGATTTATGAGGAAATCGCTTTTAGATGGATGTCTGTTACTGATGTGACAGATGTAAAACTGACTCTTGTGTGTCTACTAGTAAATAAAATAAAATAATTGAAAACCCTTGACAGATTTTAAAGTAATTTTTACAGTACTGTAAAACAAGTTTGCACAAACAACTTGGAAAGGAATTCTCTATTTTGGTGAAAACTTTTTTTTTTTTTTCAAGGCAAGGTTGACATTTGCATGGAATTGCTCAATTGCAACTTTTTTATGCAATTCAGAGCCAAACCTCACAATTCTGATTTATATCCTAACAATTCAGAATATCATGAAATTCAGCACATTTTGGATGAATAAACTAAACGTGGTGCTGTACACTTGAATTAAACGTGATGTGGACATGTGTCTGTGAATAATAAACTGCAAATAGACTTTTTCAATATAAAATGATATATAAATATGCTGTCTAGTGTGACACTTGTCATTCCACTATCTTATGATGACTACTTCCAGCAGGATAACACCCCATGTCATAAAGCGCGAATCATCTTAGACTGATTTCTTGAACATGCCAATGAGTTCACTGTACTCAAATGGCCTCCACAGTCACCAGATCCCAAGCCAATAGAGCTTTGGATGTGGTGGAACTGGAGATTCGCATCATGGATGTGCAGCCAACAAATCTGCATCAACTGTAAGATGATATCATGTTAATATGGACCAAAATCTCTGAGGAATATTTCCTCTACCTTGTTGAATCTATGCCATGACCCGGCACTAGTAAGGTGCACCTAATAAAGTGGCTAGTGAGTGTAGTAGTAGAAGTTCCTATAGTAAACAGTGAGTAGTTTTACCTGACACTTGAAGCTTTGAACTTTTTTTAATTGAGCCATTAGGAAAGGAAGTAATTTCGCAAACATAGTTTCCACTGTCTTCCACTGTAACATTATACAGAGTCAGGATGGAGCCCAGTAGTTTCCCAGTTTTTGGACTGGTCACCACTTTTAGAAGAGAATCAGCTTTAAAGTAAATTGCATCCAGACTCGGATGAAACACGACAATCTTCTGCTCGATCTTCTCATTTGAAATTTGCTGTTTACTCCATTCCAACTGAATGACTGTGATAGCATGCTCCTCTCCCACAATGCATTGCAGGCTGACATTCTGTCCCTCTACAGCAGTTGCAGACACGTTATGTTGTACAAGCACTCCATACGTTCCTGATAAACCAATATAAAGAGACATAATCAACATCTTACATTAAACCACAGATTACATCATTGGATATATGTATTGATTTCTAAGATGACTTATTGACAAGAAAACTTTTCAAATTTTAGCCATTGGAAAAAAAACAAATTAAGGCCAAGAAAGATTGACAGGTTGAATGTAATGATTGTGAAATTGTGTGCTGCAGTTAGTATGAAAAAAAGAAACCATTAGATTTTCCTTTAACTTTAAATGTGTGCATGTCATTTACATTTTGAACTGTACAGTGGAGACCAAAATTAGACCATTTGAAGGCACTTGATTTTATTTTCCAGAATTTTTTTGTCTTGACTTTAAAAATTTGGGTTATTTAGTTGGGTTATTTAGATAAAGATCACTAGTCTTTAACAAGTGAACACTAGTGTCTAACAGAGATCACTTGTCTCAAACAGATATCACTAGTCTCTCACAGGTGAACACTAGCCTCTAACAGATATCGCTCGCCTCTCACAGGTGAACACTAATCTTTAACAGAGATCACTAGTGTCTCACAGGTGTACACTAGTCTCTAACAGAGATCAATAGTCTCACAGGTGAACACAACACTTTAACAGAGACCACTAGTCTCTCACAGATGAACACTAGTCTGTAACAGAGATCACTATTCTCTCACAGATGAACACTAGTTTCTAACAGAGATCACTATTCTCTCACAGGTGAACACAAGTCTCTAACAGAGATCACTAGTCCCTCACAGATGAACACTAGTCTGTAACAGAGATCACTATTCTCTCACAGATGAACACTAGTTTCTAACAGAGATCACTATTCTCTCACAGGTGAACACAAGTCTCTAACAGAGATCACTAGTCCCTCACAGATGAACACTAGTCTCTAACAGAGATCACTATTCTCTCACATGTAAACACTAGTCTCTAAAAGAGATCACTAGTTTCTCACATGTAAACACTAGTCTCTAAAAGAGATCACTAGTTTCTCACAGGTGAACACTAGTCTCTAAAAGAGATCAATAGTCTCTCACAGGTGAAAACTAGTTTCTCAGAGGTGAACACTAGCATCTAACAGAGAACACTAGCCTCTCACAGGTGAACACAAGTCTCTAACAGAGATCACTAGTCCCTCACAGATGAACACTAGTCTCTAACAGAGATCACTATTCTCTCACATGTAAACACTAGTCTCTAAAAGAGATCACTAGTTTCTCACAGGTGAACACTAATCTTTAACAGAGATCACTAGTGTCTCACAGGTGTACACTAGTCTCTAACAGAGATCAATAGTCTCACAGGTGAACACAACACTTTAACAGAGACCACTAGTCTCTCACAGGTGAACACTAGTCTCTAACAGAGATCCTTAGTCTCTCACAGATGAACACTAGTCTGTAACAGAGATCACTATTCTCTCACAGATGAACACTAGTTTCTAACAGAGATCACTATTCTCTCACAGGTGAACACAAGTCTCTAACAGAGATCACTAGTCCCTCACAGATGAACACTAGTCTCTAACAGAGATCACTATTCTCTCACATGTAAACACTAGTCTCTAAAAGAGATCACTAGTTTCTCACAGGTGAACACTAGTCTCTAAAAGAGATCAATAGTCTCTCACAGGTGAAAACTAGTTTCTCAGAGGTGAACACTAGCATCTAACAGAGAACACTAGCCTCTCACAGGAGGATCCTACTCTCTGACAGAGATCACTAGTCTCTAACAAATATCACTAGTTTCCCACAGGAGAACACTAATCTCTCACAGGTGAACACTTGTCTCTCACAGGTGAACACTAGTCTCTAACAGAGATCACTAGCCTCTCACAGGTGAACAATAGTCTCTAACAGAGATCACTAGTCTCTCACAGGTGAACACTTGACTCTCACAGGCGAACACTAGTCTCTAACAGAGATCACTAGTCTCTCAAAGGTGAACACTAGCCTCTCACAGGAGAACACTACTCTCTGACAGAGATAACTAGTCTCTAACAAATATCACTTGTCTCTCACAGGTGAACACTAGTCTCTCACGGGTGAACACTAGCCTCTAATAGAGATCACTAGTCTCTCACAGGAGAACACTAGCCTTTAACAGAGATCACCAGCCTCTCACAGGAGAACACTACTCTCTGACAGAGATCACTAGTCTCTAATAGAGATCACTGTTCTCTCACAGGTAAATACTAATCTCTAACAGATATCACTAGTCTCTCACAGGTGAATACTTGACTCTCACCGGTCAGCACTAGTCTCTAACAGGACACCAATAGTCACTCACAGGTGAACACTAGTCTCTAACAGACATCACTAGTCTCTCACAGGTGAACACTAGCCTCTAGCGGTGCCTCTGACTGAGCCAAGCCCAGTTTGATGACTTGTTGTTGGTGTCGCCTGGACGATTTGCCCCGGGACACCATCAACAGGTTCTACGTCACAATCACGCCCCCACAAGAACAGCTTCTGATTGGTTAACGTGGCGCGAATGTCCGCTGCAGTTCAGATTTTCGAACTTGAGAGATTCGCGCGAAAAGTTCGTTAAGCACGTCAAACGCTCAAAATGCTCAATTCGTCCCGCGCCATTCGCACAATTCGCGCCGCACCTTTCGCGTGTATCGCGCCGTAGGATGTCTATTCGAGCGTTTGCATTGACTTAACATGTAAATCACTTGCGCTTGACGCGCGTTCCACATCTGGTGTGAACGCAGCATAACAGACATCGATAGTCTCCCTCAGGTGAACACTGGTCTCTAAAAGAGATCACTAGTCTCCCTCAGGTGAACACTAGTCTCTTACAGAGATCACTAGTCTCCCTTAGGTGAACACTAGTCTCTTACAGAGATCACTAGTCTCTCACAGGTGAACACTAATCTCTGACAAACATCACTATTCTTTCTCAGGTGAATACTGCGTCTCTAATGCAGAGTTCAGACTGCAGGATTTTAGCCCCGATTTTGACTCGCCAACAGGTTGAGAAATCGGCAACAAATGCCTGAAATCACAGGCAAATCAGTGCTTGTTCGCGTGACAGTCACACATATGAACAAGCAAGGGCACGATATGAGAGAATCGCTGATAAGTCGCTGACGCCCGTGAGATATTTGGCATTCTAAATTTCTAGAGCTGTCAGCGATTCAAATCATGCCGTGTAAAATGTGTTTTGACAGAAAATAACATCTGCAATCACCTACAGCCAATGAGAGAGCAGCATTCACTACGGGTACCTGCAGGCCAGTGGGAGGTTGGGGGTGAAGTTAAAAGCGCTCATTTTCAGTTTATTTGGACTAAAGAAATGGAGGAAAAACAAGTGTAAATTTGGCAGGAGCACTGTGTCTGTTTGACGTGTCATTTGAATAATATCACAAACAGGTCAAAAAGTAAAAAAATGTTGAGGAGAGAATGTTAATTCTCTTCAAAAGCCAGATAAGCAACATAAATAGCTACATGTTCTAAAGCTAAAGCCTTCTTTTTCCATTGTGTAGGTAATAACGAAATAAAAATTACGTGACCTTGCGTTGTTTCCGTGTCATTTTTCGTGTTTGATTGCTTGTGAGACGTAGTTAGGACAAAGTTGTCATTGATTCCTCATAATTTAAAGTCATGCAGTGTGAACTCTCCTGTCGACAATCCAGCCAACATTGCAAACACAGGGCCGACAGAACCCTAACCCAGATAGTCATGCAGTGTGAAAACATCCAGGACATGACTACTTTGAAAATCCTGCAGTCTGAACTTGGCATAACAGACATCACTAGAATCCCACAGGTAAACACTAGTGTATAACAGAGAACACTAGTCTCTCAAAGGTAAACACAAGTCTCTAACAGGACATCACTAGTCTCATCAGTCATTAATATCTCACAGGACTCATTGTCCTGCATGAATGTTGCTGTCTGATTGGACAATAAATGCGAGTAGCCAAATCATCTCCAAAATCATCCTCCAAACAATAAACCCTTCCTCCATCTTTCATTGACAAACAAACTTCTTTAGGAGACTCCATCTAAATTAAACCTGCAAAGGTTTAATTTATTTAGGTTTTGATTCATTTTGCTGATGAGAGTTTGGTCACTGCAGGGCTTTCAGTCTAAATTCCAATAAATGTTTGGACACTGTATGCTGAGATACAGATCCTTACCCTTTTCAGTGCTAAGTTGGCAAAAAATTAAAAAATAAATAAATTCATGAATCAGTGTTAAACCGATTGCCCATTGAGATTCTTGGCAGTATGTCCAGTCATGCATTGTTTTTGTGGACCACCAGCTTTTTGGGGTGTCAGAATGAGTTAGTGGCTTTGAAAAGAGATTATGAAGCTTTTATACTGTGCTTCAGAGAAACTACTTATTAAAATGAGCTGAAACAACCCAATTATTGAGGTTTTTGGGGGACAACTTCATGTTGTTTCATGTTCAATCCACTTAAATGTTTAAAAACTCATGAGTTAACTTAATTCCTTGTCTCGACATAAATTGATTGTGTGGAACCCAGCATATTTTAGAGTGAAACTCAAAGGTTTGGAACCACTTGACAACAATAACAGTAAATAGTGTGTATATTTTCATTTTTAGGTTAATTATCCTTTTAGCACAATTTGAAAGTACACTCATCATAGAAGAGTAGCCATTAGGTCACTTTATGTATGATTTAATGCATTTTTTAATGAATTAATACAGTACAAAGAACAAATACATGAGTGTCACATTACTGATCTACTATTCTTGTGACAGATACGTCTACTAAATGTTGAAAAACGAAAGCCTTACTTACCTCGTATCAGCCATAAAAATAGTAGAAATTTAGAAATTGTCGCTATAATCAATAAATCCATCTCTGTGAAATGTCAACAGACTTAGCAGAAAGAGTCTGACTACAGCAGAGCTACAGGAAATGAACTTCACCACAAGAGAGACAGGAACTGGTTGATATTTAAAGCTAAACTAGTCTAGTCTGTCTAAGCTTGCTTAAGATGTGCAGGACAGTTTTCTTTCTCAGTGGACT